CCCTGGTGATTGAGATAAGCAACCACTGTAGAATTGTTGGAATAGATCATTACCATACAATTTCTGGTGAGATGGAGAAAAGGAAGCAATGCATGGCATTGAACGAGAAGCTGTTCATTGACCCACAGCCCCCAGCCCTGAAGGGACATGTTAGTGAAAATGTCTCAGATACATCAATAAAAACAGACCACCAAAGAAAGGGGGCCATTTATTAGTCCCTAAGATAAGGGGGTGGTAAATAAACATGGGACGAGGCCATGTCTAGACCTAAGAGACCCCAACAACAGAGAAAGCACATGTGTAATGCGAGAGCTGAAGATGAAAAATGAGCCAGTGTGTAGAGAATTAAAGAGAGGCTGTCCCTCGAAAAACCTTCAGAATCATCGATTTTCTTCATCAGTTTTTTTATCTATATTTTGTGGAAGAATTTTTTAGTTAACTTAATTTCCCAGTCTTTTTTTTTTCTCTCATTCTCAACTTTTTTCACGTCAAACACATTTGTTTGATCTATATTTCAATTATGAATCCTGAGGTTAATGTTACCACTTTGGGTATCATACCTCATACTAGCACTATTTCACAGGCTGCAGGTGGGGGAGACTCGTTGCTGGATTTATCTGTAATTATCAGCCGAGAAATTGATCATTATATGGGTCAACCTTCTTTTCCTGAACTTTGCCCCACTTCCTCCTGAACATGCCAAACCTGTTCAGGCCAATGAGGATTTTTGATAGCCTTTTTCCACCATCGGCCATATCTTCCTGTGACCCACCTGCAGAATCAGCTAGGCCTAATACAGCATTTTTGACATGATTTCTCAGGTATGTGATGTTTGTCCATTTCCCTGATATCTTATGAACCCCATCCTTTCTTCTTGCATGATACCAGTTCCTCTCAATATTTCATTTTCCCACCCTCCCCAGATATTCGGATTCATGCTAAACAACTTGCTTCACAATTGGTTGAGGGTGTCAGCATGCCTCTCCCTCCACAGGCTATGGATCAATTTGCTTTAGCTTACCATCAGGCTAACTGTCTGTTTTTTGGTTTTCAGCAGTTGGGGTCGATTTTACCCGTGTGGGGGCAGTACCTGATTTTCCTGTGCATTCATCCAATGCCCAGTTTTCCTGCCTTCGTCTTGCCCGTACTTTCCTTCTATAGTATTTCTCTCCTTTCTGAGACGATCCACAGCCCCTATATGCCAAAAAAATTCTTTGCATATGCCACAAGCCTTAAAACTCCCACCTGTTTGGAATTGACTAATTCCAATGCATCTCATATGCAAATTATCATGCGACAACCCTCCACCAATAAGAGCGTGACACACACTCTTGACAAATATGACTCCCTCTATTCAATTCTACTGAAATATCACTACTCATTTGGCAGTACTTGTGTCAAGACATTTTTTGTTTTTGGTGCTCTTCATATGATTCACATTTGTGAATTTTATTTGTTTAATTTTCAAAAGCTATTTATGTGAGAGGAGGTAATGTACTGTATCAGAAAGTAGTTTATAACCTCTTTCATGTTCCACATTGTGGTCTAAGGGGTTTAAAAACAGGCCTACTTGAGTTTGAGGCTCCAGGGTTGGGTACCTGCTAAAGAGGTGGTAATAATATGTACATATCAAGAAGTAACCAAACATCACTGTCAATAATTCAAGGAAATAAAAGATATTGAAATATGAAAATGAAATATTCACCTGAGAAAGTTTGTGAGAACAAAGTTTAGACAGTATCCATTGAGAAGAAACTTAGAGCAGTTGGTATGGACTGTGTTGCAAAAAACAACAACAACACAAAAAAACAACTAAAAATGTTAGTTGAGAAGTCAAAGCAAAGATTTCAACAGAATGCTTCATACTTGTGATATTAAACAAAAAAGACTATATCAGTAATTAGTTTAGAGGCCAAAGCAATGTAAGAGATATAACCAGAACATCTGATAGTAGTCTTATTAACTTATTTGTGTCCAGTCTTTCAGGAGTTATGCTCAAATACTTAACCATGAGTTCTCTCTAGAAATTTCCACAAGATTACTATACTAAAACTATTGAATATGTTTTATGAAAATAAACATATCACATGTCATTTTCAAACAAATCTTTATATAAGGTTAGTAAACTTTATCACCCTAAAAACAATCTATAAAATATTATAAAAAAGATTAGTTTCACAGATAAGTTAGCTGATTACCTCTTTCACTATTGGAAATAAAATTATCTTTCAAAATATGTGAAAAATTCAACACAACATTTTATGAACAATACCGATGTACAATAAAAAATAATAATCAAAAACGAAAAAGTCCAAGTTCACTTATGTTAAACATTGTTCTGAAAACAGGGGTGATACAGAATGTTGTAAGGTGTGTGGGGGAGGAGGATGAGCCTTCCAACGAGACCTCTACTAGCATTATCAAAAGACATATTACTTTTGTTTTTTTCACTTATAACTACACACTACTAGTATCTTAATAATACACAGTGGTATAGTACTAAATTTTGTAGTGCCAGGGCCTTGCCCAAATATTACACTTGTGTAAGGATCTCATATTTCCATTTTTGTGAGTTCATTTTAATTAAAACAAATATGTGCATCACTAAATTGAATATACATATATTACTGAGAAAACACCCAATTCAATTTTCTTTCACTTAAGCAGTACAGAAAAAACACAACTGGGTACCATATAAACATCACTAATATTAAAAAAGTTTTAAAAATGCATATTTTATTAACTTACATTTCTAACTGTACTGCAGTATTAAAAATTTAACTTTTATAATGCTTTTTTAACACCTCCTGTCTTGCAAGCACGAATAACTGAAAAAGGCGACCTGTGCTGTATATTATGGAATTTACAAGCCTTTTAAAAATATTTGTTTTAAGCACACAGTATAATTGCAACATGTATTTTATTAATTGTTTTAATAAAATATCCATGTTTCAACACAATATGGCATATGACAAAAAAACATTTTCCCATTTTAATGCACTGACACCTGTTCTTGAGCCAAAGCAATTGCACAGTGCCTGATGCCAGTTCCTGAGGGAGTGTGTTCTGAGCAGTTTGAGAGAGCAATTAAAGTATACAAGGGAGCATTACAAAGAGCCAGTACTTTCTTTCACACTCTACTCAAATGCAACAGATGATTATATGTTTTACATAGTGCACAATTTACTCTTTTCATTAATTATAAACATGTCCTATAGCAATGTCAGAAAGAATTACAGATATTTCTTAAAGACAGAGGGTATGGGAGGGGTGTGTCAATGTGGGCTGAACAAAGTGATATCAAGTAAAGCAAGAAAATACGAGGCTGAAAGTTCATATTCTAGCTTGTCAGTATTTATAGCACAAGTTTCTTATTGGTTGAACAATCTGAAATCCTTATAAGGGATAAGAAAAAATCTAAATGAGAAACCACAGTGCCATCTAGTCATGTGACTCTGAGAGTTGCAGATTAAGAATTTATTTTAAAATTTCATTTTAAAATTAAAAACTTAGATAACGTAAAAACTTGATTTATACACTATATTTTGATGTTGAGCCTATTGATTTATATTAATAATAAAGCTATTAAATTAACATTTGAATGTAACTCTGTAAGATGTTGTGACATGCAATTTGACCCCTCCATATCCACAGGGTCATGAATAATTAATAATGGAAAATTCATAATTGGTCAACATTTTTTTCTTTTGTTTTTGTTTCATTTCCAGCATTTTGTAAAATTCAGATGTAAGTATACTTGACATATATTTCCATCTCCAGAAGACAAAGTCAACATACATTCAATGTTCTGAGTCAAGCACACACATTACATGAGACCATTCAATGTTCTGAGCCAAGAACACACATTACAGGAGACCATTCAACGTTCTGAGCCAAGAACACACATTACAGGAGACCATTCAATGTTGTGAGCCAAGAACACACATTACAGGAGACCATTCAATGTTCTGAGTCAAGAACACACATTACAGGAGACCATTCAATGTTCTGAGTCAAGAACACACATTACAGGAGACCATTCAATGGACTTCCGACTGAGCAGAACAACAAGTAAGGAGAATAAAAATAGTTCAAGAAATATGAAAGTACTTCTGCACCTCAAAAATGCCTTTTTATAACAATGATGTCTTTTCTAGAAAAAAAATTGTATATTTACAACAACCTAACATACACTCAAGCTAAAATACAAGTCTGCACAGGATAATATATTTTCAAGTTTGATTATTACCAAAAAAAAGATCCAACAAAATGATTAAAATAAGAAAAAGCAACTGCCAAATGCTTTCCAAGTATTTTACCCTTAACTTCTGAGCAAAATTCAAAATTTCCAGACCTGCATATGTACTACACACTGATATTTAAAATATTTTCATGATTCTTTTTAATTAACACCACTTTACCTCAGATTATACTAGAAAAAAAAAACATTTTCAAACAAGAGCATTACAGCTTTGTGGGAGAAAACACTTTTTATTTTAGTTTTTAAGATAGTAACACAGTGAACAAGAACATTACAGCTTCGTGGGAGAAAACACTTTTTATTTTAGAATTTTGAGACCGTAACACAGTGTTTGACAAAGGTTTATTAAAACACACCAAAAAAGGGTATAGCTAGGCAGCAAGATAAAAAAAAGGGGGGGATGTAAAATTTTCCTTGATCTTCCAGCTTTTGTATTTTAAAAAATTTCCCTGACCTTTTAACTTCTTTCACAAATTTGGTGATTTTTCCAGGTTTGTGGTCACACTACTAGAAGGCTCACTTAAACTAATATTAAGTATTTAGTAATTAAAAAGGGAAGTAGGGAAAAAGTGAAAATAACACTCGTGATTGCTTTAACTATCAAACCTACCCTATTATAACTTTGTTTCTATAATAATCATCTACAGTGAATTTTCTACTCAACAGTTATGTTTATTCTCCCCAAACAATGAACTTCGATATACATTTGTATAGTGACTTTTATTACTGAAATACATACCTGAATAACTGTAAAATATGTTCTCATTTCATATTGAACTCTATGTTTTTTATATATATGCACTGATTTCAGTAATGTCCTCCTGTCGTATACTTTTGGAGGTTCCCATCTAAATGAAAAACAAACACAGAGTCAAACAATTCTCTGTGACCAATACACTATACATATTTCATTCGTTTCTATTACTTACAACTAGCAAAATAACCAAAAACCATTATTAGTTATACATTTCAATTACTTTTGCCTAATTACAAAATGCAATTAATGAGAAATTAGATTATCTCATTCTCACCTAGCAAAGCATCACATACCTACACCATACTAACATGCTTATTCTTCTAAAATGAGGTACTATTACTTTGTAGTATCAAAAACTTATTGTTAAAACAAGGAATTAATGCTCTTCATTAAAATATGACACCTTTAACTAACCAATAAAATAAATCAATGAAAAAATCTTAAAGCTATATCCCCCTTATACTGTCTGAAACATGGACCTATTTTTCTCAATCAACTTGCAACAAAAATAATAGTATCTAGATTAGGGTGCATCAAATTTACTTAGTCAAAAATTTTATTTTGTAGTTGCTAGTCGGCAGGGTGTGCAATAGTTGCCTTTTATTATAAGAATTAATCTTATGCAGTATGAAACTCCTCCAAATATATCTTCAACTGCCACAAGCAAAACAAAGTTTGAAAAAAAAAGTGTATCATATCTCTACCAAATGAAATAGTTAATCACAAGAACTTAATGGTTTCAAGCTAAGAAGATTCTAATGTTGTTAATACTGCACTCTCTACATCGAAATCCTCAAATCCTAAAATAAATACACAAATGAGAACACCGCTTCCAACGGTAGTGAGAGAAGCTGACAGGTACTGTATTTTGGATAGAGCTGCTACAGCCCTTACCTCAGCTGTTTTGGAAGATATGGGCATTATTCAATAAAATGACAATGCTAAAATTGTCGATAAAAACAAGATACAACATGAACGACAAAAATACCAAGAAACATTATTGACTTCTGCCGAATCAAATTGTATTAAATCTATCTACTTTGAAGATAGAAAATATATAACTAAAAAAATTGGCAAGAAAACCATTATAAATGTGTAGTCATGGAACCACACATAACTTTGGTCAGTGAACCTGAATCAATTTTGTTTATTATTTGCAAATGATTCGCCCCTGCATCATCTAATTACGCATCTTGACGGAATAACTCTTGTACCGTCCACTTTTTCTGGTCCTCTTGGAAAGAAACTGAAGACTTGTATATCATTGCCTTCAGTAAACTTTGTTTCAGTCAAAATTACAAAGCCATTACTGAAAATTAACCATCCTGAGGATCTTAGTACAGATTAAAACTATTTGTATGACACGTGCAATGCGGTAATGTCAGATCATTGTTCAAGGGAACTTGCTTTATGTTACCCTGGTACAATGAACCATTCTCACTGGTTAACAACAGCAAACATTATTTTGTGCCTTTACATCGCAACTGCTAACCCATCCAAGAAGCTTAGTTTGTTAGTGAGATATGTAATTGAAGTGTATGCAACAGTTTGGTTAAATATGGAGAAAAATCCCTCATGCAGCCTTGGCTCACTGCACTTTCTTCTACTTGTCAGAAAATCATGTTTTCTTCCTGAATCAGAGAAATATGTGGTGGATAGAGCAAGCCGGAGAAATACATGTTTTGCCCACCTGGAAAATTTGCTGCTTGCAGATGATTCTAAGGCTATCAGACAATTTTCTCTTCATAGAATATTAGCGGCTCGATCTACCTCAAATTCTTGCACAATGAGACAGTTTGTGGTTCCAAATATTAATACAACATTACACTGATCTAATAATGTGAACTAAGAGTAGAGCCACCACTTACATAAAATACAAGCAATGAATAGTTGGTGTCTTTCATTAATCAAAATGACATGCCAGTTTTCAAGTTCAGCATGCCATGTCACATGCAAGCAGCTGAAAGGCATGTTAAAATAGTAACAGAAGCTTTAGCAGCTGTTTGTGGTTATTGCAGAAGAAAGGGATTCATTAAAGCAAAACTTCAGTCTCACAAAATCATGAAAAAATTTAATACTAAGAAACAATACATAATCCAGTAATTCTATTGCCAAGTGGAAGGGTAGGCATGGGTGGAACTCAACATGCAACCACCTCCTCATGGTGAGTTCTGGGTAATTTAGGATATAAAACTTCTAAATTAACTAAACAAAGTTATGGTACTTGGATTTCTCATATACTTTGATTATGGATATTTTAAAGTAAATAACCCCTCCTATTGGCAGTACCAGATATAATTTTAGAAGTCTGAAACTTACTCACATAATTACTACTATTAAAAGGCACCAATTGCATACCCTGCCGATAACAACAGAAGAAGTTTATATTTTCGACGCACCCAAATCTAGATCCTATTATCTGATTTATCAACTACTGAGCATGTAGATATATTTGCAATTCACAATAAATTTTATGTATTTGAAAGTAAGCCTTGATTCATAACTCCAACATACTTAAAAACTGCTTTAACTAATACTTTTTAATAATTTATTAGAAAATCCAATTGTGTAATGATGAGGAAGACAAGAAGTTAAAAACTTGTACTGAATTAAATCCAGTATGCAGTATAACAAATATTGTCCATGTATATTGTAAATATGCACAAAACTTTCCTAAGTATTAAGTTGTTTTTTTCAAATAAATATTTTCATTCAATCAATAACATTTCTGTAATTTGATACATAAATAAAATAATAAATGGACACTGTAAATTTTATATTATTTTAATTAGTTGTGTTTCGTTTTTAGCACAAACCTACATACTATATGCATAGCCCATATTCCACCTTGGGAAATCAAAACCCAGATTCTAGCATTGTAGGATTTAAATTAGTAATCACATTTAATAAAAAACAGTTGCAATCTAAGTTTATCATAAATACTAAGCCTATTAAATTTTATAATTTTTTTTTTGGTTTGTTTTTATTTATTTATAGCTTATAACATGTTATTCAGTGATGTTTTCTAAAGATTTATGGAATTTTAAATGTATCACTGAGTACATTAATAAATATGACAGTCAAGTTAAATCATATATAAAATATGCTGTTGTAACTTTTTCAGCTATTGTGTTATGTATGTAAACTGAGTATCACATTAACCATCTCCAGATCAATAAGCACCTTTTAGGTTTGAATGCACACCCACAGTGCTTTCCAAAAGTCTTCATCCCCTTGTGCTGGTAATCAATTTTTGGTATTTGCTTGTGAAAGCCTTAACTCGAATAGCCAAAAATATTTATTACATTAATCTCAGATCAGTTTCTAAAGATTACAAAGAACAAAAAGTGCATTGCTACCCAATTTAGTGATATAACACAAACAAATCTTGCCAGTCTTTACCCCCTAACATGATTATGTAGTTAATATGAAGCTTCTTTGTCAGTAGTGACAGCTGATAGTCGATTTGGATGACCTTCCACAAGCTTTGCAGAGTATGTTGGAGGTATTTTTGCCAACTCCTGCTTGCAGATATCCTCCAGTTCTTGTAAGTTGGATGGATGTCTTCGATGCACACTCCTGCTTGCAGATATCCTCCAGTTCTTGTAAGTTGGAAGGATGTCTTCGATGCCCACTCCTGCTTGCAGATATCCTCCAGTTCTTGTAAGTTGGATGGATGTCTTCGATGCCCACTCCTGCTTGCAGATATCCTCCAGTTCTTGTAAGTTGGATGGATGTCTTCAATGCACACTCCTGCTTGCAGATATCCTCCAGTTCTTGT